TGGGTTAGTAGTGAGAGATTTCGTGTTTATGTTTTAGGGCACTCTGCCACTTTGGTTAGGAAAAATTTAAACATAATAGCTGAGATGGTCATGTTTGATTACCTCAAACATGTCAGAGTACATTCATCATAAATAAGTCTCAGCCTTCTCTGAAATTTTGGTAATATGATAATGACTCTACACATAGTGTTTGGACTGTGTTTACTGTTTCCTTCAAAGTCTGAGCTAAATGTGGGAAAAGGGTCTCACTTCTGTTTATTATAATAAAACAACAGGACAAAACAGGGTTGAAAATTCCCCTTTTCGGATTGGCAGAGCTTGAAATAATCATTATTTCTCGAAACTACAGGATATTAACCTACTTTATGGCAATCTCATACTTGGCAAGCTCCAATAGGGACATCTGAGCCTAAAGTTCAGAACTTGAGGGAAGTTGGGAACTCTTGGCTTTAACATACAACCACTTTTCTGAAACCTAAACAAAAATGCCCTACTGTCAAGCTATTCAAGCAAGGTTTTAGGAGGAGATGGAATCTTCCAGAACGCTTGATTAAACCTGATTTAGAGATGAGAGTGGACAACTAGAGAGGTAAAAGGACTCAGTGAGGATACAGAGGGACTAAAGCCAGTATTTAAAGTCCACGATTCTTGATTCCAAGTTTATCTTTGTCTCAGTTCACTAAAGATCAGGCTTTAAGCCTACATGCCTTCATTCATAAAATGAAATTTTGAAATGAAATGTCTTATACAAAAAAGAATGTATTATTATTAAAATATTGCCATGTGTAGACTTTTTGTGTATAATTTTGTTGAACCAGAAAATGCATTCATTATTTACATTAATGATCATGAAAATACTGCTAAAGCAGGTGTGGACATCTTATAATATTAATATAAATATTTGTCCCTATCACTTAAATATTCAGAAATGGGACAAAGTGCAGTTCAGTTATGTGGATAATAATAAGATACATAAAGGATGAGAAGCTGCCAACATCATACAAGGGCCTTTATTGAGACTTAAAGACATGAGCTGAGGCCTATTTTATAGTTAGGCTCATATAGGTCATTGATGAATAAATGGAATAGGCAACACTTGTTTTCAAATATTAGAAAAACAGAAGAGGTACTAATGGCTTGTAAAGTGCAAAATTCCAAAATCTGTAATGAAGGGAAGAGAACTTAGCAGATTTTAGAGTCCAATTTAATATTCAGTAATCTAGGGAATATTGTAAAAAATTAAAATATTCCTGTTATATGATTCTCTCTTTTAAACAGAATGAAATGTCAGCATACCATCTTCATCAGTTTGAATAATTGTCTCTTCACTCTCCTTTCTTCCTTCTGGATTGGTAAGGATCATCTTGAGGCTGACGTTGGTATAAGGTGGCAGATGGTTCACAACATGCTGAGGGGCTTTGGGGTCCATGTCCAAACAGTCTGCCTTACTCTCATTGTGACCACGAAAATAATGGTAGCAGATAGTGACATTAAAAGTGTGGCAGCGAGTAATGTTGTAACCCAAGGATTCCCAGTCCACGGCAATGCGTCTTGCTTGTATCTCGGCAATCTTCAGAGTCTTTGGGGTGCGCATAGGCTCTGAAAAAACAAGACAAAGTTTCAGACAGCTGTCAATTTTACCATACATGATCTGAGAAAAGAAAAACTCTGTGCATAATCCAGCATATGCAAATTCAGCAAAAGTGGAAGTCATATTTTATTTTCACTTATTGAATTTATTCATTGTCTTATTCTCAAAAGTTTCAATCAGAAAATATGATTTTCCAATAAGAAAGAAAATGTAAAATGACAAGAATCCTTAAAATTTGTCAGAAAAACAAAAACCTGGAAACGCAGCCACAATGCCTTTATTGTTGTTGCTGTTGTTCCTCCCCCTTTCCTTGTTGTTCTCCTCTATTGTCATTATAGAGCAAGTGAATTAACTAATATATCATAATGGATAAGAGTCAACATGTTCTGCTCTATGATTTGTCATGTCACTAAGCTACGGTGTATACTAATTAGTCTAATTGTAACACTAAACTACCATTTACCAAAAAATGACACAGATATTAATTAACATTAATTATTTCAGTAATGATGTTGTTCATCAAAGCAAAAAAAAAATCTGAGAAAAACTACAAGAATACATGTGGATATTAACATTGTCTTCTCTTCTTCTTGATCTCCTTCTGACTTTTTCTAGAAAACACTCAGTTCTAACAACCCATTCACTGTCATACAAACCAAATTGGGAAGTGAATTTCTATTCAACTGGAAAATGCTGGCAGGATGGAACACTCTGAAGATTGGAGTCCATCCCTCACTGATTCCCAAGTGTATTCTTTCCTCATGCAAGACTAACTTTAATCGTCTAACTTAATCAAAATAATTACTCTATGAAAGTCATGGCCATGGCAAAGTCTACACAGTAAAGAAACCAACACACAGAGAAACTTTAATACATTGATTTGACAAAACTAAAGGTGAAGACTAAGGTCAGGGCATTGCTACTGCCTCCCTTATCATACTAAGGATAGTCAACTCTCTTGTTAAATGGAAATCAGGAGGGTAAAAAAGAAAAAAAAATACTAAAAAGTCCTACTTGGGTGTTTTTATACATTTATATTTTTTCAGATCAGAATCTCAGTTCTGTAAAAGTAATCAGTGTGCTACACAGATGGTAAGCACAAACTGGGAATCTGGTTCAATGTACTTAACGTAGAATCTGAAATAAACTCTCGTCGCCATTTAATTGAAGATCACAAAACTTCAAAAATCTCCATACATACATACAGATTAAACTTTGATATAATCTAATACTTGGGTTTTAAATGGTGTTTGCCAATCTTAGGACTACTTACAACACCCAGCCTCTCCACTGTTATTTCACATACTACCTTAAGCATATAGGCTGGAAAAAAGAGGCTTTCTAACTATTGTGTGAAACTGCTTTATATGTCTAACTTTAGGCTAACATTTTTCCAACTGGGTAGAAGAGTGAAGTGATGATATTTTCAATTCAGTCATGTTAGATTGAAGATGTGACTATTAATATTACTTGCATGAGCTAATCGGGCAGTTATAACTATAATAACCTTAAATTTCCTGATAAATTGTGACTTGGCTGCTGCTAGGTTAAAGCCAGACCCTATTCAGTGGCCACATTTAGATGGTGCATACAGGCATCCAGAATGAGAAGGTAAGATTTGCCATGAATATCTGAATGAACAACTCCCAAACAGCAGTGACAGAAAACACCAGTAAAACAACTCTTCATTATGTTTTTGATCTAGCATTTATATGTTTGTTTTCACAGAGCCATCATTTTGAATCTGACATTTTTCCTTCCTGTACATTTCTCTACTTCTGAGTTTTCATCCTTTTACCAGTCTTTACAGTTTGTGTCACTACTCAGTTTTTACTTTTTTCACAGTCTAATACAATTTTAAAAGCATACATACATCTGTATAATAAAAATGTGTAGCTCTATATTCTCACATCCTATATATCTAAAAGTCAGCAACAGTTTTATTATTATCTATCATGGGGAAAATGTATAGGGCTCACTTTGAAATTTTTGTTTTATGTTTTTAAATGTTGCTTACTTTCACAATAAGAGTGAGTTATATTAAAAACTCATTTAAAATCAGGAAAAATGGCTTTATTAATCCTATATGTATATATAAACTATTACGTTAATTTCTGTTATCAATACTATATTAACTCATGTTAAAAAAAGAGTTTGGGAAAGAAATATTTTTCTGAGATGCAAATCTTTCAATAAAGTAAAAATGTTTCTTGTAATTGGTACTTCTCTCCATGGATCAAACAAATCCAGCCAACTGCCTGGTTGCCTCTAAAATACGGCTTTAAACTTAATTGCATTCTCATCTTACACTAATATTTAGAAACATAGTTACAAAGTAAACACATATACACAGAGGATTAAGAGTTACCCTTTAATTATATTTTCTACTAATTAGAATGTGCCTTTTAACCTTTTCTCAGCTTTTATTGAGGTATAGCCTTCTCAAGTGCAGTGTGCGTTTGTATGTTTGTATAAGTTTGTTTTTACTTCTACAATAAAAATAAGCATATGTGTGTATGTATGGATGCATATATAGTATATAATATAATATATATATAGTGTGTGCATATATATATATATATAGTGTATATATATTTATATAGATACATACATATAAATGTATATATAGTCACAAACCCATATGATAAGGTCTTAACTTTCTACCTCATATGGAGACTATTATGTTTAATATAGGGTGATAATATGCATATGGGTTTTTATAAACAGTATTAACTTGATATGAAATCTACTACTCTGAAATCCATTCAAGGAAAATTTTATCAAAGATCGCAATGAAATCTTTTTAAAAATTTTACATTGTTTTAAAAATGTATTTACTCTAATTAGCTATATATGCAGCAGAATGCATTTTGATTCATTGTACACAATTGCAGCACAATTTTTCATTTTTCTGATTGCACATGATGTAGCTTTTCATGATATGTGCAGTCATACATGTACCTAGGGTAATGATGTCCATCTCATTCCACCATCTTTCCTGCCTCCATGCCCCCTCCCTCCTCTTTGCCTGATCACATTTCCTCCATTTTTCCCATGCCCCACCCCACCCCATTATGTATAAGCTTTTACTTATCAAAGAGAACATTCAATCTTTGGCTTTTGGGATTGGCTTTCTTTAGATATTCTCTACCATCATCCATGTACCTGAAAATGCCATAATTTCATTCTCTTTTAATGCAGAGAAATATTCCATTGTGTATACATACTAAAGTTTCTTTATCCATTCATATATTGAAGGGCACCTAGGGTAGTTCCACAGTTTAGTTATTGTGAATTGACATTAGAATGTGTTTTGACACATACATACATGGAATACTTCCCATTCTTGTGGTTGTACATGATGAAAGGTTACACTGGTCTCTTATTCATATAAGAACATAGGAAAGTTATGATCAATTCATTCTTTCTTTCTTATACTCATCCCTCTCCCTTCTCTTCATTCTCCTTTGTCTACTCCAGTGAACTTCTGTTCTTCCCCAACTCACCCACGGAGCCCCATTGTGTGTTAGCATCTACATATTAGACAGAACATTTGACATTTGTTTTTTTTTTTTTTTGCTATTGGCTTATTTCACTTAGCATCATAGTTTCCAGTTCCATCTATTTACTGGTAAATGTCATAATCTCATTCTTCCTCATGGCTGAGTAATATACCACTGTGTATATGTACCAGATATTCTTTATTTGTTCATGTATTGAAGGGCAACTAGGTTGTTGTATAAATAAAATTTCTTAAATCCCTCATTTTAACACACATTTCTAATGCTTCACCAATAAATGCATTTTATTGTGATATAATACATAAACTACAATTTTAACTTTCTCTGAGAAAAATTATTTGAATTGAGATTGAATAGAATAACTGAGAGCAGAAAGATATTGTTTGGAAAATACTATGGGTCCAATGTTTTGCATTTGTCTAATATTTTTCTCCTTTTCAACTTTTTGACTTTCCTTTTCATTTTATTGAGTATCCCATACACATGATTTTATCTAACAGTACTCTCTCTGGTGCACTTCCTTCTCTGCTAAAATAAAATTTGAAGAAAAACAAGGACTTTAAAAGAGTTATATGGCAAAATTTCATCAGAAACACAGCAAAGAAAGAACCTTACTGCAACGAGTGATCATATAAAATGTTTAGATCAAATAGATTGTCTAGAAAGAATACTAAGCTTATAGAAGGCACTGAAGCAAAACACTGTATTAGACCTCAAAGAGCTCACCATTTCCTTGTTTAAATGTTAAAACAAGAAAAAGAAAAAAAACTAATGCATTCTCTCTCTCTCTCTCTCTCTCTCTCTCTCTCTCTCTCTCTCTCATGTGTGTGTTTGATATAAGTGATATATAAATGGAAAATGTTATACCAATCCAAGAGGGAGAAATAACTCCTACCTGTCAAATGGCGGGGATATTTGTATTATGCCTCAGTATACAAAGACAAGATCTCCAACACAATTTGGGTAAATAATACAAAAGCAGGTAAAACAAGATGGATACAAATGTAAAAAAAAATGACTGGAAAACAAAAACCTATATAAGCCCATTTTTTGGCTGTATCTTACAAGAGAAATGTAGCAAAGATTGAGCAAACTTCGGATGTCAAGGTAAGAGATTGAATTTGATGATCTAATAGACTATGGGAAGTCAATGAGGGTGTCTCAGAAGGAAATTAACAGTCAAAGAGCTGTGTTTGAAAGATTAATCTGGAGGCTGTGTCAAGTGTAGAGACACTGAGGTAGAGAAATCAAAAGATTTCATTGTGTTAGGGAAGAATTAGGGGTTATGCAAGGAGGGAGAGAACAGGAATAGACAGAATAGGAGCCACTCATGTGGAAGAAAAATTGAAACACTTGGTGGCTACCTGGATTTGAAATATGTGAGTGGATACAATATAGTTAATGTGTTCAGACTGAATGGCTGAGAAAATTATGGTGCTCTTAAATGAAAGAGAGAAATCATGAAGAGACACTGACTGAGAGATAAA